GAGTTGAAGAGTTCTTTGTGGGTCCTAGCTCCCCCACTGCTGGGGAATGCGGATAGACACACTTCCCCATTCGGCAGAGTGGTATTGAGACAATGTAAAACAAGTGGATTTGAAAGCGATTCTTTTTCTTTTAAAGATTTATTTACCTTTTTTTTTTGGAAAGTCAGATTTACAGAGAGGAGGAGAGACAGAAAGAAAGATCTTCCATCTGCAGGTTCATTCCCCAAGAGCCATAACGGCTGAAGTTCAGCCAATCCAAAGACGGGAACTGGAGTTTCACTTTGAGTCTCCCATGCAGGAGCAGAAAATGGAACGTGAGAGCTGGAGCTGGGATTTGAACCCAAGTACTTCAGCATGAGACATGAGCGTCTGACCTACTAGACCAAGTGTTTGACCTCAGGGTGTCGTTAAAAGGCCTCAGTGACTCAAGCCTCTGAATTCACACCTTCGTGTGGTTGCCTCTTGCTGCAGATCTGGTCCTTGTCCCTGTTCAAACCAAGAGAATATTCTGGAAGTGACATTACACGGATTCTGGAGCCTGCACAGCTTGTACCTGTGTTCCCTCGTGACTTGTCAACTCCAAAAAGAAGTCCTTGATAGCGGAGGACTCCATGGAGAGAACGGGTCTCCTTGGATGGATTTCCTGGCTCCAGGTTTTTGACCTAGACCTATCCTTGTTTCTGATGAACAAAATGTGACATCAGGCATGCATTGTGACCTCAGAGGGCTTAGGTCACAAAGGCACTGCCGTCCCTTCCTTGCGCTCTCTCGGCGCCTGCAGTCTGCAGGGAGCAGGCCTATGGGGAGACCCATGGGGGCAGCGAGGAAGTGAGGCCTCCGCTACGGCCAGCAGCGATGCGAGGCCTCCCACCAACAGCCATGTGAATGAACATCTTGGCCACAGACCCTCCCGCCTCGGTCAAGTCTTGAGATGCTAGCAGAGCCAAGTGACATCTCGGCCCTCCAGCTCACTGACTCCAAAACCCCTGGACCGGAGAAACCGTGAGATAATAAATGTTGTTTTTTTTTTTTTCTGTCTTAAGCTGTTACATTTGGGAGAGCTTTGTCAAGCAACAATGGCTAACGTAATGCTTAGCGTGCATAGCTGCTTCTCCGCGGCTTCATTGTGAGCCTACCCTGAAATCCTCGCTGTTGATGTCTTGTGGGGCGTGGGCATATGATGAATAGCATTTGGCAGCGACATGCAAAACAGCCTACCCAAGGCGCGAAGGGCTGAACCGGCACTTGAACTCTGTGCTGATTCTGTTGTACATCGCACTGTTGTTAGTTGTGTCTGGGTGGCCTGGAGAAATACGTTGTCATGAAAGAACAAAAGCCATGTTTAACCAAATGGCAGTGAGTGTAGACTAGGGGCCAGCAGTGTGGCATAGTAGATGAAGCCACCGCCTGCAGCGCTGGGCACCTGATCACTTGAGCACCAGTTTGTTCCCTGGCGGCCCTGCCTATGATTCGGTCCCCTGCTAATGTACCTGGGCAATCCACTGACGGTGGCTGCTGGGGGACACCGGAATGAAACTCCTGGCTTCATCCTGGCCTAGCCCTGGCAATCACAGCCTTAAGGAAATGAAACAGAGGACGGAAGATATTCGCTCTCCATCTCTCTCTCTTTTCCTCCCTCTCTGTGGCTTTCAAATCAATAAATACATAAATGTATTTAAAAAGAGTGGATTTGGGCCTGACACGATGGCTCACTGGCAGGGTCATCACCTTGTAGGTGCCAGGATCCTGTATGTGTGCTGGTTCAGGTCCCGGCTGCTCCACTTCCCATCCAGCTCCCTGCTCGTGGCCTGGGAAAGCAGTCGAGGACGGACCAATGCTTTGGGACCCTGCACCCGTATGGGAGACCTGGAGGAAGTTCCAGGCTTCTGGCTCCTGGCTCCGGATCGGCACAGTACTGGCCGTTGCACTTACTTGGGGAGTGATTCATTGGATGGAAGATATTCCTTTCTATCTCTCCTCTGTATATTTGACTTTGTAATTAAAAATAAATAAATCTTAAAAAAAAAAAAAAGATTTTAGGGCCTAGCATGATGGTTCAATGGTAAAATCCTCACCTTGCAAGCACCAGGATTCATCATGGGCTCTGGTTCGCGTCCTGGCTGCTCCACTTCCCATCCAGCTCCCTGCTCGTGGCCTGGGAAAGCAGTCGAGGATGGTCCAAAGCCTTGGGACCCTGCACCCGTATGGGAGACCTGGAGGAAGTTCCTGGCCTCAAATTGGCTTAGCTCTAGCTATTGTGATCAGTGTATGGAAACTCTTTCTGTCTCTCCTCTTCATAAATCTGATCTGCCTTTCCAATAAAAATGAATAAATAAATCTTAAGAACCTATTTTAAGTTCTGGTGCATATATACCTAAGAGTAGAATTGCTGGTAATTCTATGATAAGTTTTTTTTTTGTATAACTGATAAGCTGTTTTCGATAGACACTGCACCGTTTTATATCCTTCCACATCCCTCTCCGTAATGTACAAAGCGTTCCAATGTTCCTAATATTTAAAGGACTAAACTCTCACCAAATAGTTGTCCTAGTCACTGTAAAGTATAACCTCATTGTGACTTTATTTGATAAGCAGAGTCACAGAGAAAGAAGTAGCGACACAGAGAAAAAAATCTTCTGTTCTCTGGTTCACTCCCTAAGTGGCCGCAGCAGCTGGGGCCGTGCCAAAGAAAGGAGTCAGGAACCTTTTCCGGGCCTCCCATGTGGGAGCCACCTTCTGCTGTTTTTCCCAGGCCGTTACGGGGCGGGGGGGGGGGGGGTTAGATTGGAAGTGGAGCAGCTGGGACTCGAACCAACTCCCACATGGGATACCTGTATTAAACTGCTCTGTCACAGCAGTGGGCTCCTCACTGTAGTTTTGCTTTGCATTTGTCTAATCACTTATGATGTTGAAAATCTTGTTGTATATTTTGGCTATTTGTATGTTTTTTTGGGGGGGGAAATTTACGATCTATTTTTTTGAAATTATTTTTCTGTTTGAGACACAGAGACAGATCCTCTATCTATAGGTTCACTCCCCAAATGGCTGCAGTGGCTGGAACTGAACCCCTCTAAAGCCAGAAAGCCGAAGCCTCCTCGGGGTCTCCCACGTGGGCGCAGGGACCTAAGAATCTGAGTTTTCCTCCACTGCTATCCAGGGTTGTAAGCAGGGAGCTGGATCAGAAGTGGAGCAGCTGGACTTGAACTGGCACCTATGAGGGATGCTGGTGCCACAGGCAGAGGCTTAACCCGACACGCCCTGTGCCATAGTAGATTGTGAGGTAAACCACCTTTTAAATACAAAGAAAACAGAAAACGACCTTTCCTATGGAGAAAGGATTAGTCAGTGTGCTGTCACTGTCATTGGACAAGATGGCAGCAGCTGCTACACTGAGAGGGACAGAACATGTGCCTGACGAAATTACTGCGCCCGAGTCTAATCAGAGGAAAAGCAAATACGAATTGAGGAATATCCTGCAAAATAGTCGAACTGGATTCTTAAAATGGCAGTCTGGCGAAAGAAAAAAGCCAGACAAAACCGGGGATTCTAGAATACAGGAGCTTAAAAAGTCATTGTAACCAAATGCAATACCCACACACATTAAGTAATCAGCTAAAACAATCAGTTAAAAACGCTAGGGGCGTTTTGAAAATCCAGCTATGGCCCGATTGTTACAAATACTCGTGCTGCCTTGGGGGTCAGTTTTTCTTGGTGCGATAATGGAATTCTGACTGTGTAGGAGAATATCTTTGTAGCAGAAATACATCGAAATATCTGGGCGTAAAGGGTTACACAGTGCAAGTATGGGATGTTTGGAAATCGGTGATTCTGGGTTCCTAGGGCAGTTCGTTATATTTTATTTTTTGACGTCTTTTCTGTAATGTTGATATTCTGGAAAATCTCAAAGCTCTTCCAAACCCAAGCAGTGTTTTTGTTGTTTTTGCTCAGTTGGAGTTTAATATCTTTAGCGTAAGACCAGGCGTTGGGGTTAGTTAGGGCTGCCAGTTGTGTAACCAAGGCAAGGCCTAAGGGCCGGGTTGTCTTTCAGTGAACTTGGGCGCACCCAATGGCTTTTGTGCCACTGTCAGCCAGGTGCGGTGGTGAGGTCCGAGGTCCCCCGCGCCCCACTGGCAGGTCCTAGCTGGTTCAACTGTTGGCCTTCTAGAGGACTCGGTGGCCTCCTTGCCAGATGGACACAAGAACTGTTTACTGCGGTTGTTTTGTGTTAACATGGACCGGGCTTCAGTTCCTTCGTCAGTGCCTCGTGCCTCTTCCCCGTTTTTGAACTTGGGCAATTCCGAGGGGGCAGGCATAAGGGGAGTGGGGAAGAGAGAGAACGACTCCTCCAAGGTCACGCACGCGGCGCACCTAGGGGGCAGGTCTGCAGGCTCTTGGGCCTTTGGCCTCTTCCACGCCCGCCGGAGAGGAGACGGCAGCGGTCGCGGGGATGCAAGGGTGTGGATGGAGCAGCCCGGGGTGGGGACCAGAGGCCGCGGGAAGAGAGGTGCTGCGAGCCCCGCCGAGGAGCCGGCCAGGCACGGGCGCATGGAGAGGCGGCCCTCGCCAGCGGTGCGCAGGGGCTCCGGCCGCGGCTGCCGAGCCAAGGGCGGGTCGGTGGGCGCGGGGCTGGGCAGGGTGGGCGGCCTAGGCCGGCCCCAAGGGCGCAGGAGGCGGAGGCTTGGGCCTGCGGACTGGGCAGGAGCGGGCGAGGCCGAGTGCGCCAGACCAGTCGGCACAGGTCGTGTGTGTGTGTGTGCGTGCGCGTGTGGGGGGCGCGGGAATAGGCGAGGGGCACGGGACGGGGGGCTCTCCCGGTGTTGGCATCTCTCCCCGCACCCCCCCCCAGCACCCCGAAAGGCGCCGGGTCGCCGGGGGGCGGGGCCGGCCGGGGGCGGGTCTTGCTGGGTCCCCGCGGGAGCGGCGGCGCAGGCGCGGTGCGTCCTCTCGGGCCGGCGGAGGAGCGTGTGGACGAGGCTGCAGCCCGGCTCGGCTCGGCTCGGCTCGGGCTCCCGCGTCGCTGCCGCCCCCCGCCGCCGGTGCGGCCGCCGCCGAGCCCCCCGCCCCGCCGGCGCTTGCCATGAGTTCCCGGAAAGGTGAGTGTCCCCCCCCCGCGGGCCCTGCCGTCCGCGTCTCGCGGGCCGCACGCACGCCGCTGGGCCCGACCGTTAATGTGTGTGTGTGTCTGTGTGTCTCTTTTTTTTTTTTTCTTTTTCTTCCCCTCTAGTGCTGGCCATTCAGGCCCGAAAACGGAGGCCGAAAAGAGAGAAACATCCGAAAAAGTGAGTCCACGCTGCGCTCGTCTTGGGGCCCCCACCCCCCCACCCCAGCTCTGCCCCGCCGAGGGTGTGTGTGTGTGCGTGTGTGTGTGTGTGTGTAGGGCGGTGATGGGCAACCGGGCGACAGCACAAGGCAAAGTTGCCGGGGTCCCCCCACCTCCCCAACCCCGATCGGGCGGGCGGGCTGGTCTCCCGGGACTCCTGCTCCAGCGCGCCCCGTGGACGACCCTGGGGGGAGGGACGGGTGCGCGGGGGTCCCCCCCTTTCTTCCATCCCCAAAGACCGAGTCTGGGAGGGCGCCGGGTGTGCGCCGCACTGGCCCCGGGAGCCTCGGGCCCGGCGTTCCCCGGAGGGGCTCCGGGCGCGCGGGGCTGCAGCGGGGGAGCTGCCCGGTGTCCACCTGGGCGGCGGGGCCCGGGAGGAAGAGGAGCCTGGCGTGGGTCGGCGTGCAAACGTCGCCGCCGCGGTCCTCCCCTCCGCCTCCTCCCGGCCTCGCGGCCTTGCTGCTCACTTAGGACGCGAGCCGGGGCGTGGAGAGGGGCTTGGTCTCGGCTGTGCTCTCGGCGCCGAGTTGAGCTCCCGAGACCCGTGCGTGTCGGCGCTCGGGTTCGTCTTGCAAACTTTTTTTTTTTTTCTTGCTCCGCTCGAGCGTGACTTGAGTACTCGGTGGCGGCGCCGGGGGCGCGGGGTCGGGAAGGGGGTGTGTGCGTGCGCGCGGCCCGGTTCTCTGCAGCTCGGCCGCGCAGCCCCTGGGCGCTGGTGCATCCTGGACCACGAGGCAGCCGCCGCCTGCAGTGGGGGCCGCTGTCCCGGACCCTTTTCCTGGAGAGCGCGGCGCCTCCGCCTCGTGCCGCTCGGCTTGCGGATGTGCCAGGCTTCAGCGTCATGACCCCTTCCGGATGGGCGGCCTCGCGCTGCGCTGGGAGCGAGCGGTGCTCTCCCTGCGGTGTCTGTTGCGGTCCTTTGGGGGAAGGCTGCCAGTCTGTCTTGACCACAGCCGCGAAGCGCTGCTGTGTGCCCGTCGCCTTCGCCCTGGCCTTGGCCCCGGCGCAGGTGGTGGTGGTGGATCCGCAGCTGGGTTTCTTGTCCTCGGAGAAAATGCTTGGGGGGGGGAGGCTGCACATACCTCAGGGACACTTTCCTGAAAGTTCACCCGGAAGAGGGAGGGAAAAGGGCTGCTAGCGCACTGGGAGAACTGCTGGGTGAAATGGTACATCGAATTTTTTGCAAAGTCTGAAAGGAGTGGCGTTTTGCTTCTCGGCGATGCGGTAGTGCCAGCTTGCCAGTGCATCGGCCTTACACGTGGGCTTCCCTCTGGTGAGCTGGTGAAGTGGGCTGCTCAGGCAGGAGACCTGGAATGTTGCGGGTTTTCATCGCAGTTTTCAGCCAAAACATTGGTTTATGACGATGTGTAGCCCATTATGTTTGGAAACATAAAGAAGCTGGGAAAGGCATGTTATTAGATCGGGGGACGGTTATGGATGTAGAGAGAGGCTATTTTGAGAGAGTTCCTTGGAAATGGAATTAAATGTTTGATGCAACACATTTTTGAAATATATGCCTACAAGATGTGCTTAGCATTCACGAGAAAGGCATATTGTGGGAAACTTGCAAGGGTTTCTTTAGTTCCATTTTGTACAGTTTGTGGAGTACGTCTGGTGTAGACACGCAGAGAGGCAGTTTGCACTAAGTCAGTGTGTGTTTCCAGTTCCAGGCTGCGACTTAACTGAGGGTGTGCTGCACTCTGGTTCCTGTGGGACTTTAGAAAGAATCAGCAAATATCTACAGAGAGCTTTAGCGCTCAGAGTTGAATCCACCTTCTTTCCACTGTGGATATGCGGTAAGATTTAAGGGAAAGAACAGGAATTGAAGAGGAAATGTTGTTAGCCGTTGGATCTAGACATTGCTGGTTTTCATGCAGTTCTGTGAATCTGGGCCTGCGCACAGTAACCGCTGTGATTTATTTAATCACGCTTAGCTGATGGCCTTGGAGCTTTGACAAACAGCTGCTGGGGAGGCAGACCCTGGGTGGAGGGTAGGGGAGAGGAAGGGAATAGGATGGGACACCTTGAGCAGTGAAGATAACAAGATGACTGAACACCGCTTGCCTGCGTTTCAGCCCTGGGCAACCCTGTGAGGTAAGGGCTGTTATTATCAATTTACCTGTGAGGAAAAGGAAGGTGTCAGCTTGTAGCCTGAGGAGGTGACATTGGAGCCCCAGTGGGAAGCAGAAGAGGAGGAAGAGGTGAAATGAGGAACCTACAAATCCTGGGGACTGGATTGACGCAGAGGGCTCGGAGCTGGGGGAGTCGGAGGATGGAGGGCCTAGAAGTCGTGCCCGTCTTGTGTTTCAGAGAGCGCGGCTGCTGTGTGGAGAACAGCGTGTGAGCACGAGGCGATGGTGGAGAGAGGCCTGTGGGAGGGCCTGGACCCTGAGGCCTGGGCATGCAGAATGCAGGGATTTCTGGAACCTGTTGGTGGCGTGGGTCCCTGGTGTCCCAGGCAGCTCTGATAGGGTTCGCCTGGTGCTTTTGGGTTAGTTCTGCTGAGGAGGTTCGGCAGGTCGGCAGGTGGTAGGTCTCATTTTAAACTGTATTAACACGATGCGCTTGAATTATGTGATTCTGGGCCTAACTCGATGCAGTGTGATTTTCGTTTGTCATTCTTTGGTAATGCGAGGCTGGCTGTTCGTTCTTTTTTAAGTTCAGTTCGGTTCTGAGAACTTTTCATCAGTTGAGCCAGTTCCTAGAGGCTACTACTGGGCTACAGCAGAATATGTAGTTGTCAGGAGTAAGATTTAAGATTTCTGTATCCACTTGACTCAGTATTTCAGTATTGTACTAATCTTAACTGCTCTGCCTCTTGGGCTGCCAGCATGCCCTGTTGGAGACCTGATTTGAGACCTGGCACCCTTGTTTACTGTTCTGCTCCCAGAAGGTGAACCGAGTACCAGGCCCCCATGCCGCCCGAGTGGCTTGGTCAGCTTTGGCTCTGGCCATCGTGGCCATCTGGAGGGTGGACCAGTGGATGGCTGGGCTCTCTGTCCCTCCTGTCTTACTAATTCTTTCAGATACTTAAATCTTTAAAAAATTAATCCTGTTAAATTGTGATAGTTTGCTAATTGTTTTTTTTTTTGAGGTGAGAGAGAGAAATGGACGGTGCCAAGCTGCCCCACGCTCTGCCCTGTGTAGCTATAGGGGCCGGGATTGGGCCAGGCCAGCAGGGCATCCTGGGAATTTCCGTCGGGTTTCCCATATGGGCAGTGTAGACCCAGCCACTGTAGCCATCACTTGCTGGCAGCTGAGATGCAGACCAGGGGGCTCGGGTGTGGGATGCCAGCAGTTTGTGTGCCTGCCGGCTAGGCCAGGTGCCCACCGCAGCTTGCTCCCGGTGAGTCTGGCCGCTGTGTAACTGGCAGCAGAGAAGGAGTTACTGTCGGGAATGGTGAGCCTGAAGAATTGTGCCGTCACATTGGGGTGGGTTTTTGCCTTAGGGCCTGTGAGTGCCCGTAGCTAACCTTTTTATGGTCTGTTTCGTTTATTGGTTTTTTTCTTGTAACTTTTACTGAGACATAATTCCCGTACCATAAAGCGTACCTTTTAAAGAGCACAGATCACAAGTTTGTGGTATGTTCACGAGGTTGTGCAGTTGTCATAATTACCTAATTTCATGACATTGTCTCTGCCTCACAAAGAACCCCCGTGTTTGTGTAGTGCTCGCTGCCCAGTGCTTAGTCCCAGCCTTGGCAACCGCTGGCATACTTCCTTCCGAGGGACCTTCCTGCTCTGACCATCTCATGCCAGTGGAACCCGAGAGTATTTGCCTCGGCATCTGGTCTCCTTGACTTGGCATGATGTTTTGAAGGTTCATCCACATTGGAGCCTGTGCTGCTATTTCATCTCATACATTGCCAAGTAATATTCCATTGTGTGGACAGACCACGTTTTGTTTATTAATTTTTCTGTTGCTGAACGTGTGAATTGTTTCCACTGTTTGACTAAATGTATTTTTTGTATTTATTTTATTAACTTATTTTTTATTGGAAAGTCAGATACAGAGAGGAGAAACAGAGAGGAAGATCTTCCGTCCCATAGTTCACTCCCCAAACGGCTACAACGGCTGGAGCTGAGCCGATCCGAAGCCAGGAGCCAGGAGCTCTTCCAGGTCTCCCACGCGGGTGCAGGGTCCCAAGGCTTTGGGCCGTCCTCGACTGCTTTCCCAGGCCTCAAGCGGGGAGCTGGATGGGAAGTGGGGCAGCTGGGATTAGAACTGGCGCCCATATGGGATTCTGGCATGTGCAAGGTGGGAACTTTAGCTGCTAGGCTACTATGCTGGGCCCTAAATGTATTATTTTTAAAGTGGATTGTTAGAAATTTGAATTCAAAGGTAATTTTACTTACAAGAAGTTGCAAATGTAGCAGTTCATTAGTGCGCCTTTGCTTCAGCTTCTGGCAGTGTGGCAGCTTATGAAACCGTAGAACATTCTCAGACCAGGGCGCTTGGCACGGACACAGTTAACACAGTGTTATTTTTTAAGATTTATTTTTATTGGAAAGGCGGATATACAGAGAGGAGAGACAGAGAGGAAGATCTTCTGTCCGATGATTCACTCCCCAAGTGAGCACAACGGCCGATACTATGCCGATCCGAAGCCAAGAGACTCTTCCGGGTCTCCCACGCGGGTGCAGGTTCCCAAAGCTTTGGGCCGTCCTCGACTGCTTTCCCGGGCCACAGGCAGGGAGCTGGAAGGGAAGCGGGGCTGCCGGGATTAGAACCGGCGCCCATATGGGATCCCGGGCGTGCAAGGCGAGGACCTTAGCCACTATGCCATCGCGCCGGGCCCAACACGGTGTTATTAATCCAAGAACAGCGTTGCCAGTACCTTCATTTGGTTCTATCAAATGTGATCACTTGTATAGATTAGTGTAGTCATTGACAGGCAGGCTGCACTACTGTTTCATCACCACAAAATACTGCCCATCTTTTTTTTCTTTTTTATTAAA